TGTCGGTGAGTGCGGCAAATTTGCATGACCAACTTGCACATAACAGAAAACTGCATGCTGAACTTTTGCCAAACGTGACCGCAGCTTAAGTATCAGGTGTTTTTAATTTCCAGGCAATCTGAATGGATTCCTCTATTGTGAATATTTACCAAAATGGGCAACACTAGCTTAAAGGGATAGTTCACCCAAAAATGAAAATTTCATGTTTATCTGCTTACCCCCAAGGCTTCCAAGATGTCAGTGACTTTGTTTCTTCAGTAGAACACAAACGAAGATTTTTTAACACAAACCGTTGCAGTCGGTTTGTGTTTTTTTTTAATAAAAAAACGATATAAATACTGTTCAGTTTCTTGCACAGACTGATCGTTTTGTGCCTTTGCACATCAATGTATCATCACGAGCCGCAGGGTTTAATTTGTTTTTGTTTGTTTATGTTTTTTTTTTTACTCTCAAAGCCATGATTCCCATTCACCTCCATTATAAGACTGACAGACTGCAATGGTTTGTGTTAAAAATCTTCGTTTGTGTTCTACTGAAGAAACAAAGTCGCCTACATCTTGGATGCCCTGGGGGTAAGCAGATAAACAGATCATTTTTGGGTGAACTATCCCTTTAAATCCACAGCCGTGCTTGTATAATACATGGTCAGAAAGAGACGTCGTTTTTGCATCTTCAATTATTTTCTTCTTGCAGGCTGTTCTTGCTGACCTCTCAACCCTGAAGGTGATGCCCTTGCTGCAGATCTTCCTCTTCGCCACCTCCGTCTGAGAAGCCAGCGGTGTATTTGTCTGTTTTGGTGACTGGATGTTCACCAATTTTCACAGTTAAATACCAGGACAGTTTTAAAAATAAATACATAAATGAAATAAATTAATGCTCTGTTCCATTATAATGAGGTTCATTCTGTAGAATATTTGATATGTTAAAGAGATAGTTCACCCAAAAATTAAAATTCTGTCATTAATTACTCACCCTCATGTTGTTCATGTTCATCTTCGGAACACAAATTAAGATATTTTTGATGAAATCTGAGAGCTGTCTGACCCTGCATAGACAGCAACGCAACTGAAATGTTCCCAAGTCCAGAGACGTACACTGTAAAAAATGATTGTGATTTAAAGAGTAAAAGACTATAAAAATGCTACAGTAAAAACCTGTTAACTGGTTAACAGTAAGTTTCCATACTATATTTGGTGAATAAATGTAATTACAGTTAATGTAATTTTACAGTAAAATACTGTTAAAAATACGGTTTTTGGAAGTGAAAAAGAAAAAGTCATTGTATAATTTACAGTGACAAACCGTAAATTGACACTCCCAGAATTCCTTGCATGACATATTTGATGTTTTTTTGTTGAAATAACATGTTTCTTCTTAGTTTTTTCTTATCAGTTGTGTAGGGTTTAATCTTACTAATGTTGTTAAATGAATGTTTATTCACCGAATATAGTATGGAAACTATATTCCGAAGATGAACGGAGGTCTTACGGGTTTGAAACGACATGAGGGTGAGTAATTAATGACAGGATTTTCATTTTTGGGTTAACTTAACCCTTTAATGGTAGAATTTGTACTGTAGTTTAAGTTTTAAAGATTCCCTGATAAGGTCTTGTAAGGATCTCATAGTGGAAGTCTTGGAATGATAATAGATGCCATCTAGGATACTCTGGTTAGCTCTTTGGCTTAGTGCCAGTGAATCTGGATGAGAACACTTATCAAACTATGAACATAAGTGTAATTTCCATGTATAACAGCAGCAGCACTGATGGAGATGCATATTTGCATAATGACTGTTTTGTGTGACTTAATAAACTCCGATCTCATTACACTCCCTGAGATCACCAAAATGTTATTGATTGAGTTGAAAAGAGAAATGCAGGTAATTTTGAAGTCAAACACCAAATGAATTGTGTTCTTTTCTCTGTATCGTCTGTGTTTTGAGATCGGGGGCACTTTACACATCTCTGCATGTGCAATAATGTAACATGCAAATTGCAATTAAGATAATGTTCATTATCTTTTGTTTGCTAAAAGATAGTGTTTTCTTTACACTAACGTAACTTGTTTATGGGTTACTTCTGTTCTTGACAGTAGCTATTATTACTGACAGTAGCTAGTATTTATTTAGAAGCAGTTTTCTGATGCAGAAATGCATGTGAAGAATTGCCTGTATTACATTTTAAACTACATTATTCTAATTCATTATTCATTCAGTATAAGCTGTATAATCTATGTATGTATAATCTATTCCATGTTGTTAAGGGCAAATGTTTAATTGCCCTACATTAATATGCATGACTAGATTTTGTTTCAACTACCATAAATATTTCAATAAATGTAATTATATAAAAGCTGTAGAGTCTAAACAGTAATTTCATGTTGTTAAGTACAATTATTGCATTACCCTACATTAATATGTTTGACTAGATTTTGTTTCAACCTCCATAAATATTTCAGTAATTCTTTGTAACAGAATTTTTAATGATTCTATGTAACTGGATTATAAATTTGTAAAAAAAAAAAATGTACATGTGTAAAATGCACTGTATGTACATTTGTGTACGATTTTAAATTTGCTATCAGACAAATAATGCATTAAGTTGCATTTTAAGCTAAATACATTTTGAAGATATTTATGAGGATATAACTTGTCCTTGAGTTCATGAAGCATCAGTTCATTATGATTGCATTTATTTATTAATTGTTGCTTTAAAATGGGAATAATATGATATACGGTAACAGGGTTATCACACAAGTGAGCATTTTCCTTTCTTTTTGTTTAACTAAACTAAAACAACTAAACATAAAAAAAAATATACCAAGATAGAAAGAAGAAATATAAAATGCAATGATTTATATATTTTGTTCTCTTCAAATGGTTGAAGTTGGAAGCATATATCTATATTTTTTATATGAAAAGTTTGCTTAAGCAATTCATTGTTAAATTAATTCTTACACATTTATTTGAAGACAAATATGTCACCAGTTTAGCGGAATGACCCTTATTTAGTAAAGGCTGTACAGTGCATTCAGGCCCATGAATTTCAGCATCATTCATGACCCTACAAGTTGACCCCAGCTTATAGCAAACTCCAGCAGCTCTTTGACATATGCTCCATCTATCCGCCTGCCCCTCTCATTCCCTCTGTGCCTCATATCAAATTATGCCACTCGTCTGTTTTCTGTACTGCTTTTCGCTCCCCGTTGCCTTGCATTGGTCTCTCTGTACATCTGCCACCTGTTTACACAGCTTCCCACACCCTGTCCCGTTATTACCGGACTTTCAGTCACCATGGGAGCAGCGCACCCCTAGCGGTCCCTCACTGTACCATAGCATTGCTCCCCGCTGAAACATTTCTTTTGGACAGGCACTATCACATTTCCTCTGCCTCTCTCTTGGGCACCTTTATATATTTAGACCTCTGTAATAACTGCCTTCCTCTCCTGCTGATACAGTTGAAACCTATATGCAGGAAGTTAAGGGAGCTTGCTTTGAGAGAATTAAGTATTTATTGCAAATAATAATTGCATGCTAACACAACCTTAATTTCATCAATCTAAACATTTAAATAAAATAATAATATTAATACATTAGTACAATGATATATGAAAGCATTTTACTTTTTGCATGCACAATGTGTGCTAATTAAAATTGCACTCATTAAGCTTTTGTTAGTGTTTAGCTGATTTGTTCCAAATAGTATCAGTGGTTTTGCACTTTATAGTGACACCTATTGGCCTGGATGCATTAAGTGAGTTTACTTATTGCTCCCTTCACATCATATCTCTTTATTTTGTGTTTTGTTCCTTTTTCTGTATGTTATTTTCTGTCTCTCATAACACACATTCATATGAGGAACATTCTTCTAATAAATCCTACAAAATGTTGTGCATTGTGGGTGGTTTGTGCTGTTACTTGACTGGGTTGTTGTGGTTTGTTTCATCATTCCAGCACTAATTGTTTAGACATTTAAAATTGTATTTTGTTTTCATTTGTATTGATTTGGTTTAGACAAGTCAATCGCACACATCCATCGCTATAGACTACGATGTGAACTCTGGGTCTTATGGGATTTGGGGTTAGTAGCCTACAATTTTTTTGTCTTGCTGTTCTTGAAAAAGATTGATACTTCATGCAATAAATTGATGCATTGACATTTTAAATGTTACAAAAGATTTCTATATTTTTTTTTTTTTTTACTTTTCTACTTTTGAACTTTCTATTCATCAATCCTGAAAAAAAACCCTGCAACTGTTTCAAGATCGATAATAAATGTTTCTTGAGCACCAAATCATATTCTGAAGGATCATGACACTGACTAGACTAATGGCTGCTGAAAATTAAACCATTTTAAATCAAACCATGAAATACCTATTTTTTTAATTGTAATAATAATTTACAATATTACTGTTATACTGTATCAAATAAATGCAGCCTTGATGAGCAAAAGAGACATTTTACTGACCACCAGACTTTTGAATGGTAGCGTATAATGTTCGCTTTGCTTTTATATAGATGTAATTTTATGTAAAGTGTTGAAAAGTGAATGGATTGTTGGTTTCTGGCCATTTGTATGCTGGTCATGTGATGTCAACATGGCGGAGTTCCTGAGGGGGCGACCTGCTCCATGTGGGGGGGGAAAAAGCGCTTTTTATGGAAGACTCATGTCTAGATTCTTCATCCCATGCGCTATACACACCATTTTAATCATAAAGCAAATAATAATAATTAACAAATAAATAAATAAATCACTTTTAATACTAAATCGTATGCACATCATTTTATGTAAGCGTGATAATAAATAAATAAATACATATTAATAATCATACTCCAGATGAACAAGAAAACACCCATTATCTGCCTGCCTCCTTTCAACCGCGGTCTGCCTTTTCAAAGCTCACGTCTCTGGCGCTGTCAGCCAATCGGATTGTGCCATGTTGGGCCCTTTCAACCAATCGCAGCCCACAGCGAGGAGGAAAACTTGGATGATTCTCTGGGTGTACATTTTTGCGTGTCGCGATGGGAGAAATAAGAGTGGGAAGTGATGAACAATAGAGCTGGCTGTTTCCAGGAGGCGCCAGCATTCCCGAGCACCTTTCGTGCTCTTGGTGTGCATAGCGATAGTCAGCCAAGCACACAGCCCATCCAGTTCACACTAGCAGCTGGTTTTGTGTCACAGGAGAGATTTAGGCGAGATCACCGAATCAAACTGCCGGAGTCCTGTTGTCAAATGATTTGCATAAGGACTTCCGCCTCCTGAATTTAGTTTCTGCATCAACTGGCAAAGGCAGTGGGCAGAGCCCTCGTGTCAGGCGCAGTCATGCGGACTTGACATTTAAACTCGGTTAATATTTGGACATGAACGGCACACGCGTGTGTTTCGGATGGTCCCGATGGATTTGGATTAAACGGCACACTGGGATCTGACACTTTCATTCTCAGAGGCGTTTACTATGCTGTATATCTGCCGGCTCTTGTGGTGGCTATACAGTGACTATTTGCTGTTACTTCTAGTGTAGAACTGGAATGTTGCATTGGACTCATTGTGGTATTCTGTAGTTTTCATCTCCTCTCAAACAGGGGATTCCTCGTCTGTTTTCACATGTCTGTTTGGATCCTAAAGTAGGATACAGCCAGATCCTCCAACCCAGTCCAGGATCTGATGTCTATTTCAATGTGTCATATTAGAAGAGTTGACCATCTCTTTTGGATTGAGTTTTACCTCGCGATCTTCTTTTGACGTCTTGGACAGCTCGGATGCATTTTAGATCGTTTTTTGTTTTTGTTTTTTAGCTTGGATTACTTCTTTTTTTTTGGCTACGTTTTTACAGGTTGGATCTTCTCGTTTATTTCGGGTATTTAAACTCGGTTCTTTTTGTGTAACTACTGTTGAAATCACACGTTTCATTCTTTTGATTCGTTTTGCCGATCCACTGGGTGAAAATACTGTGTGATCTCTTGTTGATTTATTTATTGGTCGTTTAAAGCTTTTGCACACCATGGCTTTCTTGTTCGGGGCAGCGGTTCTGTTGCTGCGCGGACTCGTCTTCTCTGCGGTATTGGGCTTCGAGAGTTCATACACGAGTCATTTATCGAACCGAGTCACTCCAGATTCAGCAGCAGTAGCAGTAGCTGTTGCTCCTACAGGTAAGACCTCTATATCCTAACAAACCACGAATCTGATCAACCTGCGTTATTCTCTTTAGTAACTCCAGATACTGTCCAGATACTGTGATACTCGATTGTCAGTGCTGTTTTTGAGAATCTGATGCTTTGCCTGTATGAGGGACTGCTTATGAAAGTGATGAAGGTCAGGACTGTATTCACATGGAATCCCTGCTATTCCACCAATAAACACTTGGCATGAGAGAGCAGGAGGAACCCCCTCCATACAGCTCTGTCATCAGGCAGCACCTCCATAAAGGAGAAACCACCAGATGGGCTTTTCCATGGCCGCTGGCTGATATAACGCCTTTGTAAATTGCTTGAATGAAACTGGCACTCATTTTACACAATATTCACTGAAGAACTGAAACAGTATACATTAACCATGCTTTCTATGGCAAGCTATTTTGGAATTTATTCATTTAAAAAAATCGTTTTATGTTACTAGTGTTTTTCTTTTCTTTTTTCAGTTACTAATTAATAATCCTGTCGTAAGTAGTATCTTTTTTTAATTTTACTACTATCATATCCATTATTCTATCACTTACTCTAATAGTGACTAGTGTCTATCAAGTCTATTATTGGTAGGCTACTTTTTAGTCATTAGTCACAATACCAATAGTGCCAGATAATAATTTCTCTCTTAAGGCTAACAGTTTTTTTAGTTTTACTATCAACTACTCATTAGGTACTAACTAGCGTAAGGCTGCCCATTCAAACAGCATTTTTTTGTGTCAACTTCCAATATTTGTGTTGTAAAATTATTAAATATTTATATCTTGGAAAATGTATTTGCATGATTATTTTAGGTATAAAAATATATTTGGCAACAACCATGAGAGATACAACCCTTTTGTTGGCTGATGACAATACATTTTCAAATGTCCAAATATTGGCAGATTAATTGATGTGCCTGATATACTGTGTCTATCAATATTGTACAAGGCTGTTCTTGTCACATGCAGGGCTGAGAATGTTGTTCCGAGCATTGTGATGAGGGTCGCTCAATAAGATCTTCTATAGTGTAGCCTACTCTTTAGCTTTTGAGGGCCATTTGAATTTAAAGATGACTGTATTACTATGTGTTCAAATGGATGCATTTGATCCACAGAATGATAGCTTCTAGGACACTACTTTAAATCCATCTTTTAAATATCAAACAAATAAATTGTCAATAAATAAATAGTGTTCAAAAATGTGTACCATACTGGTATAGTTTTACTATCAACTACTCATTAGGTACTAACTAGCGTAAGGCTGCCCATTCAAACAGCATTTTTTTGTGTCAACTTCCAATATTTGTGTTGTAAAATTATAAAATATTTATATCTTGGAAAATGTATTTGCATGATTATTTTAGGTATAAAAATATATTTGGCAACAACCATGAGAGATACAACCCTTTTGTTGGCTGATGACAATACATTTTCAAATGTCCAAATATTGGCAGATTAATTGATGTGCCTGATATACTGTGTCTATCAATATTGTACAAGGCTGTTCTTGTCACATGCAGGGCTGAGAATGTTGTTCCGAGCATTGTGATGAGGGTCGCTCAATAAGATCTTCTATAGTGTAGCCTACTCTTTAGCTTTTGAGGGCCATTTGAATTTAAAGATGACTGTATTACTATGTGTTCAAATGGATGCATTTGATCCACAGAATGATAGCTTCTAGGACACTACTTTAAATCCATCTTTTAAATATCAAACAAATAAATTGTCAATAAATAAATAGTGTTCAAAAATGTGTACCATACTGGTAGTGCATAATGCATAAACAAACAGGACGGATGCAGTCAGTCAGTCTATTCTGGTTCATAACCCCACAGCTGTTTTCCCAATATTAGTCATGCCTTTAATGACAGTGGATCATTTCTGACGGCAGCAGTCTGGTCAGAGCATTTGCTGAGGACACAGGGTGAGATGACAGATTGCTGTCTGTACAGAGCTACACACTGCTCATATGATGAATGTAATCCAGATCTGTGGTCGTACAGGAATGCAAACTTAATCGGAAGGGTAAATAACCTGCATGCAATTGGTAATTGACTCATCAGAAATTAAAGCCCTCGGACAAATTGTTTCAGCTGTTGCCGTAGTTTAGTGCACTCTAATGGACACTTCATATGCATACTTGATTAAATACAGCAAGCGCACCACAGTTCCCAGCCTGCAACAAACCCCTTGAATTAAGGAAACCCTTAATTATAACTCTAAGTGCATTGCTCCTTGAGGTTTTCTTAACTCCGATTTTCAGGGTGTTGTTGCATTTACAATGATATGAGCATTTACATAGTTTCAACATTGTTTTACCCTCTGGCATTTGTAGTCACATTTCAACCTCCAGCATGTATAATAGTACAATTTAAACTGAAATTTATTTAACATTGACAACCCAGGCCCACTGGAAAAACATGCTTGTGGTGACATGACTGTGAAAAGATAAGTTGCTTTTTGCAAGTTTCGTGACACTTTCAAATCGAAATGTTCAGTGAGTGGTGCTAAAAGCATGTTCAGTTTTACCAAGAACAGATGAATGTGAATCTGGCAACATTTTAAGTTGTTTGTTACAGTTCGGAAGTGAAATGTCCAGTGAGTGGTGCTAAAAAGTTAATGCTGTATTGCAAAAATGACGTACAACCTACACTAAAACCTATCCTAAACACAACCAATAGTGATAACAAAAGCAAATGTGAAATAAAGATGCATTTGCTGAAGCAACCATGCAGTTTTAATTTGCTTCTGTGAACCATTTTATTGTGACTCTTGTTTCACGGGACTCATATCCAAGCGCTCTGCATCACAAGTGCAATGCTGTGGCAGGTGAGCAACAGAGCTCTAGAAAAGCTGATTATGTGTATTAGTATACAAATCATTCACAAAATTCATAAAGTGTTCTAGGCAAAACGCTACTAAGTCTTAATTGATATTCTGTTCCTGCAATCATAATTTATGTGGAAATGAATAACAGTTGTTGATGTTTTACTGCCACTAGTGTTAATTTCAGTTGGAAAATGCGTTAAATTGTTTGTATAGGTAAGTTTTTGGAGTTTTGTAATAATGTAGGTAGATGCATCATAGGTAATCTATGTGGATCGCTGACACCATAATTATTAAATTATTAAAGCCTACTTTGGGAGCCGATTACTATCAGCCTCCAAATGAGTCTCTACACAGAAACATGTTTATTATTAGGACACGGCAAATGAAAGGGCAGTGTTTTCAGTATTGTTCTTCAGTCACTGATGAGTTTAGTTAAAGGGAATGTTCACCCAAAAATGAAAATCAAGTTGTTTTTTTTAGAAAAAAAATACCATGGAAGTCAATGGCTGCTGTCAGCTGTATATATATATATATATATTTGTAAGAAACTCATACAGGATTGGAAGAAGTGAAGGATAATAAATGATGACAGAATTTTCATTTTTGAGTGAACTGTCCTTTTGACTATAAGTTAAATCTTTTCAGTGAATGTGTTGTATGAGTTTTGTGGCATAAGGCTTTAAACCTAACTAAATATATAATTAAATATTTGTTTGGCAAGAATTCTGCCCATTTTCAGACTGATAAGCAGGGAGGTGGCAGAGCAAGTATCAGATGCTGGCACATAGCATCTGTGTTGGCATGCATACTAGTGAATTGTGCTTTACTTATTAATTTATTGTATATGTGCAAGCATCAGTGAATAACACATTAAATAAAAGCTGTTAAACCTGAGCAGCAGGCCGTGCCACCTGCAGGGAAAGGTGTATTCCAACTATAGGCAGATAAAACTGCTGAGTGACAAATTAAGTGCTTGTCTTAAAATGTATTTACGCAGGCTGCTTTAAACTGTTGTGTGTGTACTTTATTGAGTTCCCACTATATCAGTATGGGTGCAGTCATCATGAGATACAACTAGGGCTGCCACTAATGACTATTTTTATTTTGATTAATCTATAGACTAATTTATTGATTAATCTAAACAATTAATTTCCCACAAAAAAATCGACAATTTTACTTAAGAATATTTCATTAAACTATATTTCATTAAACCAAATGAAATCCAAAAGTAAAAAAGTAAAGTGCAACATTGAGTGCAAGAAGCAAGTGTCCATCTCATAGTCCAAATCACTGAAATCAAAGTTCAGTATTATAGTGTAAGAGAATGACAACATATCCACGTGTTCTAGTCTACTAATAATAAATGAGATAGGCTTTTTGATTAATAAAATTTAATTTAACCATTAAAACAAAGTATAGAAAAATGAAAATTTTGAAATAAAACGGATTTCATAGTGCCCTATAATTATAATATTTTTTTTTGTGGTAATAAAAACAGATGTAAGTGAACAACAGCCTTTAAAATGACTTAAAATACATATATAATAGCAATGAGGCAATAATAATTAGTTCAAATAAAGTATCAAAAGCAAGAAATCATATGGTTTTATTGAACAATTTATCAAATACATAATGTATTATAAACATTAGAGCTAATGTACATTACGCATTACAACAAAGGCCTGCAAAGGGCGCCGACGGCCTGATGATTGTTTTTACACATTGCTGTGCGATCTAATCCTTGTTTAATATTGACCAAGCACCATTTCATTCAAATGTCCACGTAATCTTTAATATTTGGCCATTTCTTTAAGACCTAAATGCTATAGCCACTGTAATTAAATGAATATGTGGACCTCAAAACGTGTAAACTCAGAGTGAGGGTTTGAGCTTTTATTTTGAAACTGCGATGTATTCTCCTGTGTTTGCGTAGATTTATAAATGTATTTACCTTACAAATCTGATGAAATGGCACATGTTGTGTTCCCAGATTAACGTTATAATAAACCCAAACTCACAACAACATGCAGAGATGGAGTTTGAGACGCTCCACACATGTAAATGATAACTGTTCCTGTGGAACTACTGTGAACAGAGCCGCTGTGTGACACATGTACTTAACCTAAACGCATGTAAATAATTAAAGTGCTTAAAATG